TTTGGGCAATATAGCATCTCAAAATATCTTGGCTTATAGAGGATGCTTGCCCCTTTTGCGTTTTTTGGAAAGCATATGTGATGAACTGAATAGTTCAGAGTTTGTGGGTGTGAGGGGGCGATGTTGTTCTACTTCCTTTCTCTTAGTCATTCCAGCCTTATGCTTGGAGAAAAGCAAAAGCTACAGTCACAATCAATCTTGTGTTCTAGCCTATGGACATTTTTCTTTAAATCTAATTTAAATTGTTTTTTTTCCTCTCTGCCTGTGTACAGGAGCACTACTGAATCTATGCTGACTATAGGACAAAACGTTACCCTTGCACTGAGCTGATCGGGGTCTGTTGTGGAGGTGGGATGGACTGAATTTTTGGCTAACAAAATATTTACGGAAGCTTTCTGAAATTCTGAAAGAAAGTTTCCCAGGAATTGCAGTAGTTATGACTTCCATGCGGCTAACTACTGAATGAAGCATTTCTGGAATACCTCTGGATTATTTAAGTAATAAATGAGTGAAGTGATAGAAGGCATTCAGAGATTAAATTTCAAGGTGAAAAATCATTTGGTGTTGGGAAGAAAGGAGTTGTTCCAAATGATCATGCTGTGCATAAAAATACATTAAAATCAGAAGCAGAGGGGAGAGCCCTTCTTTTAAGGTGGTTCCAAGAAACTCAAGCTCTTTACAGAACTGCATCCAAAAACAAAAGAAGCCCACAGACAAAACAGGCATATGTCAGTACCCAGAGCAGAAGAACAAGGAGAACCACAAAGGAACGTCAAACTGAATGGAGTAGGTGTTCAAGTAAAGTAGTATACGTATGGTTAGAGAAGTAGGCTTAAAATGAAGTTATCATAAAAATAGCCAAATAACATGATGCACATGGGTGTGACTGTGCGGTAATATCTCTTACAAAGGTACTGGTGTCTTTCATTTTTTTTGAAGAATCGCTGCATCATTTAGTGTTCTGGTGCATCCTCTTTTTTGAGAAGAACAGTTGCAAACAAAAAAAAAAAACAAGACTATGACAAACCTCTGTAGCAAGAGATCATTTATTGTACACATTTCTTTTTTCAAGAGGTGGTTATAACAAGGAGAGCATTTGTGTATTTGTGCTGATTCTTTGATCACCTGGTAGGAGAGAGAGTGTGTTGATGTATTTGAGTTATGATAAAATACTGCTGTATTTTATCTTTGCTTTTTTTATCAGAATACAGCAGTATTTTGTCACTGATTGGCCCTCAAACAAAAAATCCACTTGTGTGGTCTTGACATCTGTGTGCTTGTTGGTGAAAATAATTTTAACAACTCTATTTCCTTTTTTTTTTTTTTTTTGGTTCATGTGGTAGCCAGTAAATGCAAAATGCATACAGTAACATCTGAAACTGGTTTTTGATTTTTTTTTTTTTTTTAAAGATTGCTGAATGTGAACTTCAACTCCCTTTTCAGCTGATACAGTGTTATTTAACTAGACTTCACTGATGCAGAACAGCTGGGAGAGACTGTACTGCTGATGACTCTGAGGAAGAATGCTAAGTAGTCCGATATTCATGGAAATTGTTTAATTTCCCGAACATACGTTATATAACATTCGACTTCATTTCCTTTACTTAAAGTATGTTTGTGAATAGGGTATAGAGCATTTTAAAAAATGCTCTATAATCCTACACTGTTGCAATCCAACAAAATATGCAGTGCTGTCAAATCTTAGTGAAGAAAGAGTTGAGAACATGCTGCACCATAATAAGTGCTTATCTGTTCATTGGATCAACACCTGCATGAAGAGGCATGAGAAAGCATAAAGCCAGAAAGTAATACAGCCTTAAGTAAGGTGGAATCAGGGAAGCTGCAACCATTATGACTAGAATGCTTATTTAGAGCTAGATATCCAGTTTTCAGTAGGAAACTATATGCTTGTACCAGAAGTACAAAAATAATTGAGTTGAAGAATTTACCCCAAACCTCTCAGCTCGGACAAGTAAGAATAAAACATAAAAATAGGTAGTCTTTTTCGCACTGGCTGGCAAGGCTCGATCAGAATGCTGTTCTGTAGCCTTCTCCTACAGACATTCAGTCTCCTTTAGAACATCTTCCCTTATTTGGTACTAACTGATACACTGTGAAAAAGCCAGAGCTTCGCAAATATTGTAAGCTAGCACTGCCCCTAGAAGAAATTGTTCCATCCTCTGCCTCTACCTACCCACTCACTCCCACCTCGCTGACTCTCTCCCTTTTTCCTGCACGTGTGTATGTGGTACCTTACTATGACTTTCTCCAGACTAGAAGTTGTGTGGAAGGAGGGGGGAAAAAATCTTAACTGTTTTTTTTTGTTGTTGTTCATTCATACTTGGAATTTTGATTCAGCACAGTTTAACTTTATGCATTGGCATCAATGGAATTTAAGCATGTATTTAAAAACTAAGCTCAAACTTGGTGCTTTTTGCCTCAAAGAACGTTTCCCTTGATTAAGAGAATTAGTCTCACTTAAAAACTGGTAATGCAAACTTTATTCAAGCATGCAACAAAAAGTTTGATGATAAATAAACAGTATAGATCTTATTTGTCTCTGTATATGTACCTATTCTATCTTCTGTCCAACTAAATAATTAAAAATATTTTTAGTTCGGTTATTTCACGTGAAGAGCTTTTCAGAAGACTAGTCAGGAAGAAAATCCTTAATTTGTGTACGGTTTGGGTTTTTTACTATTATCTGATGCCAAATAGTCTAACGGTGAGCACTTCACTAAGATATATAAACTCCCGCGTCGCAATTTGTTTAAATGTGTCTGGCAATAATACATATGTCAGAAAGCATTCAATGATGGTGTGCTGATTAGCTGCCTCTGCAGTAAAAAGGCTTTGGAGAAATTTCCTTTTTGGAAATGGAAGATTATCTCATGTCTGTTGTAACCTTCTCTCACCTAAAGCAAGCTGGAGCAGTTCTGTGCTGTGGCCATGATACAGTATTCTTATAACTACATCCATGTTCAGCAGTGCAGGTTGTTTACTCACATTAGGATGTGAATTTCCCTGAATTCATAGGCCAGTTTAAAAGCCATAATGGTACTTTGAGTTTATCCTTAGTAAAAGAAAAATAAGCTTCTGCTTAGCTGTTCTTGGAGTTCTGTTTATGATACTGCCATAGACTTCCTGCAAGACTTAATATATTTAGCTTAGTCTATCTGTTTCTCATGTGTAAAATATCACTTATGAAGCTTCTTTTTTTGAGCTCTTTGTTCAGGCTGTGAGGTGTTTATAAGCATCTTTCCTTCTGTTTGTACGGCTTTTAGAAAGTGAGACTAGCACCAGATTTCTATATATCACAGTAAATGCAATCTCTTACTTTTATAGTATTAGCAGAGATACTTACTCTATTTTTTTTTTTTTTGCAAGGAAATCTGGAATGTCCAGAACTGCAAAGAAAACAGAGAAATCGATCTATTTAATGTAGCAGAAATCTTAATATCCTTAAACCAGTAATTTGTAAGTGGATAGGTAAAACAAATCCTTATTACTATTAAGAAAAGTAGTGAGAGAGCTTGTGATACATTTATGCTGTTTTGGACCATAAAAAATTAATTATCTCGGTCTTTATGACATAAATAGCAAAGGTCATGCCACAGACTGAAGTGTGTGCCATTGGGAGGCAGTGAATTGTTAGGTAGTTTTATAATTATGATGAAGTATAGAGTCATCAGGTAAAAAGCAAAATTTGAAGCTAGTACTTTAGGTCTAGGTGATATATTCTGTGTCATTCTTAAGTTAATGGTAAGTAGTGTAAGAGACTCTTTGGTGGAGAATTTTGATATCTTGCTAAGAATCAAAGATTTACAGGTAGTCCAGAGAGATAGTGTGATGTCAGCGTAGAGGACTGCTTACTGGAATTGAGAAGTGGGGCGTATTTCATACTGCCATGTACATACAAGCAATCATCAGAAAGGAGACAGGGAAAGGGGTAAAACAAGGCCCTGGCTAACACCCTTCAGGACCTGTCCTTTTCCCTTGAAGCTTTTGTGGTTTGCACACCCATTCATCTGTTTCAATTTCTCTGGGGTGGGGGGGAACAAAAAGCTAATCTGTGGTTAGGGGACAGGAAAAATCTTAAACAGGGACTACATCAAAGCTACTGCCAACACACGTATATGAACCCTGTTGCTTTTTAAATTTCCTCAGTTATAAAATGTGAGTAATAATGCTTAAACTATGTATCATTCAGCGTTGTGTGAGTTGATTAGATAATGCTTTGAAGTGCTTTGAAGATGAAATGCCTAATATAAATGTAGTATAAAGCTTACTAAGGGTCTTCATGTCAGGTATATAGAAATCTGTGGTAACTCTGAGCTGGTGTTGTCCCTTAGCTAACTAGCCAACTTTTCACTGTTATTTACTAACAACAGGTATTTCATTTGGTAAATGAGGCATGATTGACACTGACTTATTTTTTTTTAAAGACTTTTTTTGACTGCTTACCATATGTGTAATAGCAACATCATGGTATACTTCCTTTGTCATGAGTGTCAGCAAGCTCTCTTACAGTACTTAAAATACTTCTAACAGTTCGGGGCGTTTGGTGACTTAGAAGAATAAGTTGCATCTTACTGGAAGGTCAAATGAAAGAAATGTGTGTCTCCTTGGTGAAGAACTGCAGAAGCACATACCGATTCCTGAATCATTGTTTTTTTTAAAAAAAAAAAAAAAAAAGAAAAGGCATTAATGTGTCTTTTGAGCCTTTTTCTCTAGAAGTTGCATTTTGCTAATCTATTGTAGGTAGATTTCAAAAGGATAAAGTCATATAATGAAATAGATTACTTTTTTGAAAATAGATCATTACTTCAGTCTGGTACGTGTATCACTGTCTCCTCCAAATAAATAACCTGAACTCCATGACTGAATTTTTGTCCACACAGATTTAAAGCTAAACAATTTACTATTGTGTTTCTTCCTTGAGCTGAATCTTTTATTTCTTAAGCAAGGCTAACTTATTTTCTCTAAATTTTATCTTGCAGTTCATAGAATCTCAAGACATGTATTTCCTTGGACTACTGTTTTTGCTCGTTTTGCAAAGTAAGGCCTTCAGTACAAATTTTCCCGATGAAACCATTGCTGAGCTTTCTGTGAATGTTTACAATCAGCTGCGAGCTGCAAGAGAAGATGAGAATATTCTTTTTTCTCCTCTGAGCATTGTAATAGCGACGGGAATGGTAGAGCTTGGAGCCCATGGAACCACCTTGAAAGAAATTCGACATTCCTTGGGTTTTGACAGCTTAAAAAATGGTAAGGCCTTTTAATCATGTTTTACTATGAGTATTTTTTATCTTAAAGTAACCGATGGCAATGCCTGAACAACCACAGAAATGGTTCAGTGTTGTCTATGCATTATTAATCAGTAGGCTTCTTGACATCTTGTTTGACCTGAGCATGCTGAAGCATATTTCAGTGGATTCTTTGTAATTTGAGAGATGTTGACATACAATCCTGACTTGATCACCTGAACCTCAAGCAACTGAAGTTAACTGTTAAGTCTTGACTTGACTTCCATATGTAAAATAAGCATGTCATTTGCCTGAGAGTCATAAGATTATTTTTGGTAGTATCATTTGTTAAGACTTATAAAGAAACTTGAAAATGAAAGCAATAGAATTAAGCAGTATTTCATAGAAGAAAACAGGAAAACATCATAATTTAATTGGAAATGTTATAATGCATCTCTAACTCCGACAAAAAGTTTTATTCTTCTAAGATACTTTACATAATTTAGTCATTCCTTGATAGAACTAACTGAAATTTTGAGGGGGGGGGAAAAAATCAAAACTGATATGGTAAATATTGAGTATCACTAGTCATGAAATTTGTATTTAAAATTTGTTGAAGTCGGATGTATAATTCCTGTTGCATTAACCACTGAAAGGCAGAATGTGAAGATAAGAACACTTGTTTTTACACTTTATACTACTTTTGCCTCGTTTCTTCTAATATTGAATTTTACTGTAAGAAAAATGCAACTAATGTAGTTGTATGGATGTAAATGAGGGCAAAATTTTCCCACGCATTCTTGTTTTTCTAACAGAACCTGCACATTCTTTACCTTAAATTCTGTATTCTCTAATGCTCTGTCTGCTTTGCTCAGGGGAGCAAACAGATGCTCAAGCTAACTTAGGAAATACGAGTGTCTTGGATGTTTCGAGATGATACTCTTTGGGTTCCCAATAGCTTTACTAAGAAACAGGATGCATTTATTTCGCAGAGAGATAAATGCTACCATACCATCCCATTTCTTGTATGGGCTGAGCCAAGTTGTGCATCCTGATGTAGTGCTGTGCTGTGGGGTGCAAGCACACTGTGTTAATGTAAGCCGCTCCATAGTAAGACTGCAAATTGAGAGGGATCAGTGAATGGCAAAAAAAATGATTTTGAGGAGGCAATTTCTATGAATTTTGATGTAGTAATTGGTTTGAAAACTGTGAATTAAATTTCATATTCATTTATCCTACTAAACTTTTAAGTCCTCTGTGAAAGGAGCTGGGGGAGGCAATTCTGAATACGCCTTAGGAAATAAGATGTGTTCAGCAAGTTCACTGTGCGCTGTACCACTACATAGATGATACCTTCCTCTGAAGATTGCAGCACGTGTTTAGTTCTACAGTTGGTCTCTAAAGCATTAACAAATTATCCCCTGACTGTAACTGAAGAAGGTATGCAGTTGACTTAAGCTGAGCCATTCACGATTCTTGCATGAGCGGTGTTCAGTGAAAGTACTCGAATGACTTTGGCTTGGAATATATCATTTTGCTCAACTTTTAAGTTACTTTTTAAAGATAACCCAGAAATTTTGGCTTCAGGTGGACCGTGCAAGCTTTCTCTCTCGAAGCAGAATACTTCATGAGTCTCATCAGCTTTTGGCTTTATGAGCAGTTTAGGTTTCTAGAGCTTTTTAATTCCTCATTAACCAAACAAATGATTGTATCCTACTCCATGCAGGATCTTGGGAAATTCTAGACCTGATCTTGTGAGGGGAATTCTCTGAGGGCCTTAGGTTTGAAACTTGAAACTCATTGTTCTTTGTCAGAGCCCCAAACAATGGGCTTTTTGGATGTAACAAATATTCCATTAAGGATTTGTGATGATAAAGTGTAAGTGTAACTCATAAGAATAATTCTTTTAAGTTGCTCTCCTGGTATTGAAAGGAATACCATTGACAGCTCTGTGTGCAATGGGGTCCAAATGCCTTGTTAATTATGCTTGTTGTAGGTAGTAGAAAAAATAAGATCTGCATAACATGATGTTCTGCCTTGTAGAGTCTTCATTCAGATCTGAAGGTGTGGGCAATTTCCAGTCAATAAGGCTGCATGTGCTGGTCGTTACTATATTTAAACAAATAAAAGGAAAAGCTAGGTCAAATGTAAAACAAACATTAAAAATAAAAGGACATCTGTTTCCACCCCCCCCTCCACCCCCCCCAATTAGCTTTGTGAATTTCTGGAGGAAATCACTGAATAATTTTATTTCCTGAAATGTTGTCTCCCTGAATCTATTTTTTTTTCTTTACTCAGGTGAGGAGTTTGCATTCTTGAAGGACCTGTCTGATATGGCAACTACTGAAGAAAGTCATTATATTCTGAATATTGCTAACTCCCTCTATGTGCAGAATGGATTTCATGTCAGTGACAAATTTTTGCAGTTGGTGAAAAAATACTTTAAAGCTGAAGTAGAGAACGTAGATTTCAGTCAAAGTGTGGCTGTAGCCACCCACATCAATAAGTGGGTGGAGAATCATACAAATAGTAAGTCCGTGTGGTTCTTTTATGTACTTTTGCATTGTTTGTTGTGTTTCCGGAGTTGGATAGTTTTGTAAAATTGTTGCCTTGACTGTTATCTCTACTGAAGTACTTCCTCCCATAAAAAGAATCCTAATATCAGTTCTTTGTGGAGTTATGTTTTTCCTATGTAGGGATGATCTGTCTTTAGGTAGTATTTACTGTTACTAAACCAAATGTATTTGTCAGAATGTATCTTCACCTATGTTGCTATTTTGAACTACCTGTAACGTTTATTGAAGGAGAATGATATTTAGATAGTAGGCATTTTAACAGTATTCTAATACTGATTTAGATATTTATTTACTAAAAATAAATAGATAAGTGTTGTTGTTAACTGCAGAAAAATTTTATATGACAGGCTTATTAGCCTGTGTTCTAGATGCGTGGAGGATCCCTAGTTCCCTTTCTTAGGAACTCATAGGTGCAAGGTACTAAGAAATGGAATATTAGGGATTACAAAAGATAGTTTTGATAAGCACAAAATCAGACTCTGTAACAGAACCTCTTCCAATGCGAGGAAACAACCCAAATGAGCCAGATAGGATGTAGGGGGAGTATTTGGTTTCAGGAAGACTGACACTGCAGAGGTTAATAGCAATTTGTAGCAGGGGGAAGGTGTAAGTGCAAAACTACTTTTGTAAATGCCTTTACTTAGACCTGCGTGATGTATAGTGCTTGCTTCACACGTGGAATCCCAAGCATGTGGTGTTCTCTGAATACATGTAGAATCAAGGTATGGGAATGAAGTTACTGCCCCCTTGTAGGGATCAAAGCATAATTCTCTTCTAGTTCATCTGGCACATTCTGTGGAAGTTGATATTTTAAGAGGAATTCAGCAGAGGACCAGTTCTAACGTAATTCATACCATTGTAAATCTGAAGGTAAGATCAGAATCTCCTTTAAGGAATTGACACGTGTTGTCCGAACATTTAAGAATCCCTAGTGCTTTATGGAAACTTGCAGCACTGAAGTGAAAAGCTGCTCATGTAATGCTTTTATTCCATTTTGAAAATGGCCTTGTTTTTTCAAGGCAAATGGAACCTATTGTATCCACAATAAATTTTACCCTTTATTGCAAGCAACAGAAATAGAGAGAAGGCAAGTCATGCAGCAGATTGCGCAGTGTTTTCACAGGGAAACATGGTACATGTCTGAGGGAAACAAAATTCTCTTTCTTTTAGAAAGAACTGCAATATCAGATTAAGCAGATCCCCTGCTTAATATCTGCCACATGTGCTGACCAAGCTCATAATTGTCACCTTGGCAGGAGCTGTAGAGCCAACAAAGGCATCTAGGGGTCTCTTAGCGTTAGGTTGTGATAGTAACAGTCCCTCAGTCTACTCTCTTAGCACTAGAAATCGTTTTGTCCTGCCTGTTAGCTCTGCTGATGGAGGAGACCACTTTTCTCATTAGGAAAGAAATACAGAACAGGCAGGATTCCAGTTCCAGTGTGTGAAGCATGATGGGAGGCTCAAAGTAGAAAACGTAACTGTCCAAGGCTTCTCTGGCCATAAAAATTCTTAACACACATTTGTTAACAAGATGTGGCTGAGAAATGTAAGGGAATATGATATACCAAATGAAAAAGGAAAAACTGGAAGTGTATAGCACCTTGATTTCTTCCTTTCTCTTTTTTTTTCTTTTTTTTTTTTTTTCCCCTCCAGCAATAGGGAGTGAGTGTGTAAGTGCGGGTGACATTTCATTTCCAAGGATGTCCTTTTGGATAAAATGAAGTATAATTAGAGATAGTCGTGAGAAATTTATTTTAACACCTTGCACTGCATTGTCAATTATAAATAGAAGTGAGCAAGAAAACAAGCCGCCTGAAGTAGGCTGTAATTCTTCAAGAATAGTGACAAATCTGGTCAGTGTACCAGATTTAACCAACTCAAAATTATTTTGCTGTAAAGCAAGCTATTTAAGGTGAGCTAAAGCAGGTAGCATAGAATATATTCTGATATGATTTATTTATGACTAGGTGCAAAGCAGCTGCTGTGCTCAGCTAACAAACCTCCCGTGAACAGAGCAGATGCAAGATGTCTTTTCTCTTTTGCTTTCTAAGACCAAATGTCAGTGGAACAAATGCTGAGAACTTGCATTCTTTAAGATCAGTCCTTTCTTTGGAGCCAGTGGGACACTGTCTATGTGATTGGAAAGTGAATGCTGTCTTCAGAATTGGCCCAGATGCTGCTGAAGTTCCGGTGGATATGCTTATGCACCTTAAGCACCCATATAAGTCCTGCTTTAGTTTGGAACCGGTGTCTGTAGAAGTTTTGACCTCTAGAGGATAAAACTGAACTCTACTGTAGCACCAGTATAAACATTCTTTGACCGCTTTTGCACTTAAGATTTCATTGTGGTGTATATTCAAGCAGTAATCAAGAAACCGTTGACTGACATATGCTTGATGGAAGGATTTATGTACCTTCGCTGTGATTTAGGTTTGCAAAACACTGGCAGTTTGATTTGGGATTTAATGGAACATCTGATTTGGAAATTATATGTTAGCACAGCTTTTTATTTTCTTACATTTTTCAAGCTATCTTAAATCAAAACCTAATGTTCAGTTTAACATGCTGCTGACAGTCTTTTTTTTTTTTTCTCTTCCCTCACCCCTCAGGTATGATCAGAGATTTTGTGTCATCAAGGGACTTTGGTGCTCTAACTCATTTGGCTCTAATCAATGCAATCTACTTTAAGGGTAATTGGAAATCACAATTCAGACCTGAAAATACAAGAACTTTCTCTTTCACTAAAGATGATGAAAGTGAAGTGCAGATTCCAATGATGTACCAGCAAGGAGAATTTTACTACGGTGAGCTGGAGCTTTAGCAATTTAAAGCTAGTAATTCTTTCCTTAATAGCATTGTTGCAGTAATACTCGTTTGAATTCTTGTGTATTTTTCCTCCTGTAATTCTAAATGTGATGTTTGATTACCCAATGAAGGGATTCGTACTTGATATCTTTTCATAATGTGTGCACTTGTGTGTTATTCTGAATAGCTACATTAATAATGACCTCTTGATTATTTTTAGGTGTATGTTTGGTGTCACATGCTGAATTATAGAATGTTTGACTGTTGTTTCTAACCTCTCTGTGTTTCTAGAGCTATTCCTGGTTCTAACTAAAGTTGGTGGGTTTTTTTGTGCTTTGCTATATATTGAGTACTGTTTGTAAATGTCTCTGCCCCTGTTCATTGTTGTTTTAACAACCTTAGGGAAGAGATAGTGATTCTATGAACAGAATTGATGATACTTGTTTTCTTTAACTTGAGGTTGAACTTCCAATATGGGTTCTACAATGTCTGGCATTGACAATATTTCCCTCAGTCTTATCATCAGTAAGCTCTCTCTCTCCTGAATGAAAATATTCTGCTGCTCATTTCCATGAAACTCTCACGGATTTTAACCTCTTTGAGGCTTCTAACTAACGGAAATCAGCTAACAGGTTCAGAAGTATGATTACATGATGCAGTCTATGTGACTGCATAAGCTTCCCTGCTTTAGGAAAAAGGATATAAGGCTCAGATCCTATGATGAAGAAAGCAATATTGATTTTCTACAGAGTAGAATAAAGAGGGTCACTTTAAGCTCCAGTATCTAGCAAATGTTGTGTAATATTAACTTTTTGTAGGTTTTCCTCTGTCTCTAGGGAAGGTAAAAGAAGAATAATTCTAATAGCTTTTTTCCTCTTTTGTAGGGGAGTTCAGTGATGGCTCCAATGAAGCAGGTGGCATCTATCAAGTTCTGGAAATACCATATGAGGGAGATGAGATTAGTATGATGATTGTTCTTTCCAGACAGGAAGTTCCACTGGTCACCTTGGAACCACTGGTCAAAGCCTCGTTGATTGATGAATGGGCTAACTCTGTGAAAAAACAAAAAGTGGAAGTATATTTACCAAGGTGAGATTATGTTCCCAAGTCAAAAGAACGGGAAGGACTGTTTGCATTCAGATTGACTGGAGTAGCAGAGTAGATAAAACCTGAACAGCTTGATCTGATCTGTGGTTATGTAGCATCCAAATGCAGGGTGGTTTGAGAAGAAAGCCCAGGAGGCATGCACTATGAGGTGGTAGTTGGCTGAGCAAGAGATGAACGTTGCATTTGTCTTTTTCAGATATAAGCCCCAGAAAGGAGGAGTACATTCACTTTGAATGATGGCTCGCTTCATTTTGTAGAGCTCATTATGAATAAATTCTGCTTAGGAAAGGAGTCATAAACATATTGCAAGTCTGAGAATTAACAAAAGTGGAAGTGTTTCATTTAAGTACTAATTAGATTTCTATTTGTTGCTAATTTAAAAGTCCTAATAGTATGCATCTACGTAGATAGAAATGGTTGAGTGTCAAGAGGTAATTCCAGTTAGTCTGCCACTTTTTCTAGCTGTAATAAATAGTTTTCTTTTTTCCTCAGAGGAGCGACAGAATAACAAGACATTACTATCAGAATGGGAAGGGATTTCTCTCTGTTCATTTGTGGGCACATAAACTGCATGTGATTAGTGGCATATCTAGTCATATCTATCATACCACTTAGTTATTTTTCCTAGAATTCTATTTTATCTACCTTCAAATATTTTCTTTTCATTCTGGCCCTATGCTTGACACAGTAATAGAGGTGTTTACCACTAAATGTCTCGCATGCATGGTTGGATCATGATACTTTTTAAGTGATTCGTAATGATTTCATTGACGTGTTTATGTAACAATATAGCACAAGTTTGATGTGTTTCACTACTTATTCTACTTTCTGTGGCATTATGCAGCAGTACATGGCAGTAGAAAAAATACTAGTAATGAATCCTTTTATTCATTAAAACAGACTTTTTGGTTTTTTTTTTTTTCTTTCTTTCTTTCTTCAGGTGATTTGAGGATTTGTTTGAGTATGTTATATTTCACATATAAAGAGCAGGGCAAGAGTCCTTGCAGTTCATTGACTTTCCTTCCAGTGTAAGGACCACTTCCAAGAAGCTAACTGTAGCTGTGAGCACAATAAGCCAAGGCTAGCGGCAATAAATTAGATTGAGATGGACGGGTGCTGTTGGCATGCCGCATCATTCCAACTCAAGATTGAATTCCACTTCCTTTAAAGTTGTAATGTTTGAAGTCAGAGCAGTGAGGGAACAGCAATGTTTTGGGTCTCTCTATTTTTCTCTGCTCCATATAGTTGACAGTAGGTGTTCCCGTTTTTAGCGTGTCGTTCCTTTGAAGAAGCACAGAGCAGCAAAGAACTACGTTGCAGATTTTGTACAAACTGAGTCTGTGTTTTTTCTTTTTTTTTTTTTTTCTTTCCCCCTCCCCTCCCTGCCCCCTGTCAAAAAACTTCAGACCCAAGGAGGCTTGGTATTAACATTCTGCTAAGATGCAAGGGATGCTTCTCTCAGGTAGCATATGCCCATGTCCACAGACAGCCTAGATGTTACTAAGTTAAATATGAGAATTCTTCCATTTCTCAAGATTTTCATTTATAACTATAGAGTATTTCACAGTGTCTTTATGGGGTGATGAAGTTGAACAACTTCTCTCAGTGGATTACTAGAGAGGGAGTGTGTGATCCACAGCAAAAATCTCCCTCCATTGAGTATATAGGAAATCTATGAAAGCTAGCTTCTAAATTTAAGAAGCTTAGGTATATGAAGTTAAATACATGAATACTATTGTAAACATATTAATGATACTAAGCCAGGATCTTGGACGTGAGTTTGTGGGACCTAGGTTTTGTGTCCATATTTTTTCTATGCCCAATACTTCCTTCCTCAAACTAGTCTTTCTGTCTGTTGCTCTCATCTAAGAATCTCAAAGAACTTGGTAAATCACAGAATCACAGAATGGTTGAGGTTGGAAGGGACCTCTGGAAATCATCTAGTCCAACATCCCTGCCCAAGCAGGGACCTCTAGAGCATATTGCCCAGGATCACATCCAGACGGGTTTTGAATATCTCCAGCGAAGGAGACTCCACTACCTCTCTGGGCAACCTGTTCCAATGCTCTGTCACCCTCACAGTGAAGAAGTTTTTTCTCAGGTTTAGGTGGAACTTCCTGTGGTTCAGTTTCTGCCCGTTGCCTCTTGTCCTGTCACTGGGCACCACGGAGAAGAGGCTGGCCTCATCCTCTTGACACTCCCCCTTCAGATACTTGTACACGTTGATGAGATCGCCTCTCAATCTTCTCTGTTAGTGAATTAAAGCTATAAGCAAGACAGGTACAACTTATCTTCCGTATTTTCAGAGTATAGATGATAGCTAGCATGAGCTTGAAATTCCATACAGTATTACAGTAATTTCCTTATCAAATTCCAAAGGTTAGTTGCATGCTCCCAGGGTGTTAGATTTTCATTAGGATTCAGAGGTGATCTGTGGGATTTTATCAGTGTTCTAAATAAACACTTCATAAATATTTTATACTCTGATTCAGAAAGACATGTTATGAAATGTGGCCTGCAGGCACTGTCCACTGAGAAATTAAAAGCAGCAGTGGAATAAAATTAAATTTTTATATCCTGAAAGATGCTATCCAATTATAAAGTGAACATTTTTTAAACTTATACATTTGTAATAGGGCCTGAATGGTTAGCCAAAGCAGAGTTAATCACAGCTTTCCAATTTCTGTCTGTTATCTGTGTGCATATGAAATTGTGTATTACTTCTCTTAATAGCAAAGGAGAGATTTGCACAGAATTGTTAAATTATACTTTCTCGTTTTCATTTTCAAATCATTGTTTCCAGCTTAACCCAGACTAAAGTGATCAACATTTTAATCCACTTTTTACATAGAAGTGAAACAGACCATGAATCTAATTTACAAAGCTGTCTCCCAAACATAATTTATTTCAAGAGCACGGAAGGAAGAACTACGTGATAACAGTGCTACAGTCTTCAGAGTTCCTCTTAAGGATATTTCTAGTATGTCTGGATTTCTCAAAAGACCTTCCTTTTTTTGTATATTTGAAACAGCTTAAAATGCCTCAGACTGTACTAAAAAGATAAGTTTCTTTTGCTAGAAATTGTTTTCTCTTCCCTCCAAAAAAGAGCAAATGTTCTTTTTTTGTTTTAAGTTCAGCGTGCTCTCTTGAGTCTCCATCTTGTGGGGAACAGGCCAGTTCTGATTCTTCCTGAGATACAAACATGAAAGAGGCACCAAACCGTGTTGTGCTGAAATGCACGCTTAGCAGCCAACGTCTGCAGCCCTTAATAACCCTGAAAACAAGGACCTTGCTATAGAAGGCACCAGGCTTTGGTGATCAGAGCAGCTCTGTCTCTTTCAGGCTATTAGATCATGCAAGTTAGTTTTAGCACCTTAGGAAGACCTAGCTGAAATTTCAGCTAAAATGTTGGAATTGCTGTCAGCTTTGTATTGTAGGCTGCTTGCCAGGTTAAAATACTGATACGGATCCTGAGGACCTGTCCTTCCAGCAGGAGTACGTTTGACCCTGTGGTTCGAAGAAGGGCAGCCATTCCTTTGTTTGCTTTTTGTTCTGCAGAATGTAATGTGTTAGAACCAATTTGAGAACCTGGAGTTACTTGCTTTCTCTCATTCAGAAGTTTCAGTAGTTTGTGAAATTATAGCCTTTGGGACGAATCACACTAGTCTCCAGTTCACTTTTGTTGTGTAAATAGAAAGTATGCTCGATTCTGTTTATCGTGAGCTTCTGAGGACTTCTCTAAAAATTTAACATCTCGGAAGGGTTGCAGAGCACTGTACGAGATCAAGCCATCTTTTCTGTCTTAAAAGTCTATGAAGCAGTTGCCCTGATCTTGTATCATAGTTATTGCTATATACAAAATCTGAAGTTTCAGATATATAACTAAGGAGACTCTGTCTATGACATAAATGCATAATTTGAATCTAATTCTTGTATAACTTTCAAATTTCATGAGAAGCTCATCCTTTTCTGCTAAACTCTCAAGAGAACTGTTTGTTAGGAAATAGAATTAGTTTCTCAAACTAAGTGTCTCATTCTGTTCTCCAGTTTATATATGAGAGATCCGAAGACACTTGAAAGCAAATGAAGTATTGTTATTCAGCTTTTTGGACCTCATTTCACATATAGGAAATAGACATTACAAACAAACCTTGTGAAAATAAGTATGAAGCTAACTCCTATCTTTACTTCTCCTTGACTTTGACTAGCTTCAACTCCTAGGCTGAGTCATTATCCCTTATTAATATCTTTCTGCTCTATGCTTCCTGAGGAAGTCTGTAGAGGCATATATACGTATATGTGCATATGTATCAATGAAACAGTCTAGAACTGTGTAATAAGAACAGAAACTCTCCTTTGGACTAAACAGATCAGTCCTCCAACTTCTTTTCTGGCTCTGTGGCAAAAATACAGCTTCATCTTCTCTTTGGTGTCTGAACTTTCTCAGACCTCCCCTCACAGTTTCTAATGTTCCCAAGTTACGACGATTCCATGATTTACAATAAGTATTGAAATGGATTTATAGAACTGTTCTTAGCATCAGATGCACCTAAAAGATTGTGAGGGGAAAAAATTGGTCTGACCATCTAGTTCATTATATGGAACAGACACTGCAAATAACCATGGGTTAGGACTAGCATCTTGTAGCTCAGCGTTCCAAAGTTTGGAGGTACAGCAAATACCTGACTCAGGAAATGAGACTGAATGGGTCTCTTCTCTGTGTTCTAGGCTGTCAGCTTTCATTTTGAATAACTACATCACTGGTTATAAAGAATGCGAAGAAATCCAAAAATAATAGGAGTATAACTGATACAGAGTGCTCACCTGAGTTTGCAGAGCCTGAAGTTATGGTTCAATGCTTAAAGCAGCCCTATTATTTTCAAGAGGTTGGTTCAGATGTCAGCTAAAATATGTGAAATATCAATAATAATAGCTTATTTGTAATTTTCAGTGCTCTTCAGTGCATGTGAGAAAGGAGGAGAGATGCCATATTGATGACAGTTTATTTTGAGTGGGTTTTTACCATATGGCAAAACTCAAAGGGAAGTAATCAGCTTTATTTCCTTAAAGTGGCAGTTTGGTAGTTGATGTGATATCTTCAGTCTAGTTCATATGTCCTAAAAAGGAGCTACTCATTTCTATAGATCCACTTCTTTGCCTTTCCAGAGGTTTCACTCAGGACTAATAGCCTCTTTCCAATAATTAAGCCAATACTATTCTCCATGTAGGCATTCTTTAGCAGTACAATTGATCTGTTTCTTTGTATTTTGTTTTAGCTGCATATTCAGCTAGGGCTTTCAGGGTTTTTGGGTTTTTTTTTTTTTTCCCCCAAAAAGATTTCCCAAACCTCTTTCTGGATTAGCATGCAAAAGCATCCTTTTTTTGTATCATGTTTTTTACCTTCTGGATTTCTGGGTGGTTACTTATCACTTAGCGCATGAGTGTGTTTGCTGCTGGTGGTGCAGAGACTTAAACCCACATAATTTCCATTTATATCCTATAGTGATTCTCTGCAGTTGGAAAAGTGCACTTCTGTAGGTTTTTTTTCTTGCTACTGTCTTATCCTGGTATCCCCATCTAGTTTGATATTGCTAGTTAACAGCTAAAGTATGTTGAAAGATTGATACATTTAATGTTAACTGTGGTGAAGTAAAACCTAAAAAGAGAAAAATACACCACTTGGAAATCTTTGTAAAATGCATTTTAACATTAATTTACCATTTCTGCATGTTTGTAAGGTAAGTACAGTTGGATTCATGTTTTGAAAAATATCATAATATTGTTTAATATAGAAGGAAATATTGCTGGACTCCTCCGGTGTAAGAGCACAGAGAGAACTTCTGTACTGTTTAAATCCATTAACTCTGGCATCAGGAGTCAAGTCTCAGTTCCTCTCTTCTTTAGGGTTTTTACTGAAGCCTGTAAAGTAATTCCAGATGTATTTTACATAGTGTGTAATGAGAACCAAACCTGGTCTCTTGTTTTGGAGCCTAGAAGCCAGTGGGAAACTTGAATGAATAAACAACCTGCAGAGTTGTCTCTTAGCTGAAAGCTAAAATTGCACAGAAAGTCTCGAGAGCTTCCTGTCTGTAGTTTTTGACCAGTGCCTACAATGTTCTAAGTGGAAAGCAGGTGCCGATTCCTCTTTGAGGAGAAAGCTAGTAAGACGTATTTCTCTTTCCTAAAATCCCATCGGCAATTTTCAGGTCATCTTCTGTGTCTCTCTACCTACATCTCCTTTAAGGTTATGCTGCATTTGTTTTGTTTTTAACAAATGCTGCAACGCTGGCTAATACAGAATATATGAGAATACCACAAGGAGCTTCCTCCCATGCGTAAGTCTATATTGGTCTCTTCTAGTTTTTCTGATAACAGCCAAAAACAGTAAGATCACAAGAGTTAGTTTGTACTTTTTCATTCCAGGCATAGCCTGGAATTCGTTTGGACAGGGTTCATGAACACTTGCGATGCCACCAGTAATTTGTCATTCCTGAGCTATCTCCAGACCTTGTTTTAACTTAGATGAAATTATTCTCTGGGCGATAACTAATATCTATTTTGTGATACATTTTGGCTTCCAGTAGCATTTTTAAATTCATTATGAATGTAGACTGTGTTTTGAATTTTTCTCGTTCTGTGTAAATGTTGTAAGTGAGGAAGTTCCACTTCACTCTTATTCAGTTGCCCATTGATGTCCAGATTATTTTTTTAACCTGTGAAGGTTAAAAATAAACAGATAAAAATCTGTACATGCGAAGGTATCATCTCTGCTCTTCATCAGCCGCTCTCTGCTCGGAGTCCTGTGCTGTACTTAAGAACTGAAGAGAACCTGTAGTCAAGGACCCCTATAGTCAAGGAAATTTAACCATAGGAAGAACTTGTATTTCAAGAAATTTCACAGCAGCGCATTTTAACTGGTTAGAGGACAGATATGACCCTTTGCTAAGGACTGCAGTCTCATTGCAGTCATCTGACCAAATGGTTTGCTAGAGAAACCGTAACAAAGCTTTTCGGACTATATCCTTTGTACAGTTGTTATAGCCAGTCATTGCCAGCATAATTGAAGCCATTCATAATTTGTTTAGCCATTCTACAGAGAGCCCTTAACTATACGAACATTTATAATTAGCCTTTCATGTCTGTCAGTAGACTTCTGGCATTTTTATTCTGGCCAGAGTTACTGTTCTTTTTACTTTGACATGTTTCATTGTGTTTCTCCAGCTGCTCAAGTCTGTGTCTGCCTATAAAGGACCTGATTTGTTTGTCTTACCAACACCAGACATAACTCTTACAACAACTTATTCTAAAAGATTCTAAACTGAACATACTTTTGCCCAAAATTTTGCCCTCGGATTTGAATTTGTCCTGCCAGCAGAGTAACATGGTATAGAGCGTGGATTGGCAAGCTAATCCGAAAATCATGCCAGATTTTAGTCACAAGTGCATTTGCACCAATAACTATTTGTTTTCCTTTTTCTCTACTCACTATCAAAACCCAATGAGAATTTTGCCACCAGATTAGTTCTGACTTAGTGTCTAATTACTTTATATTATTGTTCATAACTGCTATTCTTTGCTTATGCTTTTTAAATAAGAGTAGAATATCTGTAGTTTCCTACTCCTTTTTTGCCAACAGCTATGAAGCTTGTGCTGTCCTTTGACTTCCCTGATATTTTGTGCTACTATGTATACAGTTAATTCAGTTTTTATATTAACCTTTTCTTATTAAGAATAAGCATTTACATCAGCTACTACATGACTATTATACTAGCCTTTTGTGGTAAGGGACTGTACATACCATCAGCATATCTTTGTTCTGCATTAGAAAAAAACTAGCTGTGATAGTGAACTTTTTCGTAGAAGCATTTTCATAGAAAGTGTCAGTGTCTATACTGTTAGTGCCAAATCTACTATTTCACATCATTTACCTCAGTGTTTCAGTTGTCATTATCTAGAAATTTTAATCTTCTAATAACAATAAATACTGCTTAAGTTCTTGAGTTTTTGCAATTTTCTGTTATGTTCTATAGGTTCACAGTAGAACAAGAAATTGATCTGAAAGATGTTATGAAAGGTCTTGGAATTACGGAGTTATTCAGCAGTAATGCTGACCTTACTGCAATGTCTGGTAAGAGGCTTTAAAATATGTCTTTTAAAATATATGAGCAAGTCTTAAAATCATGTAAAGATAACCAAAAAGCTCTTAGAGTTACCCAAGCGAACAAAAAACCTCTGTAAGTAAGTTTTTGATCCATAGGGATTCTTGAATGACCTAAGTGTATGCTTGATGCAGGAGCTGTTGGGGTAGGGGAGGGAATCCCTTAGGGGGATGCTTTTTACGTGGAAAACTTCATTCTGAGCGTTTCAGAATTTGAGCTTATTAGAATTGTGGAGAAAATGGAGTATTGTGCAAGAGGCAGATCCATATTTACACAACAATACGTGGCCTGAGTGCCTCGATGGCAAATGGGATTTGCACCACAGGTGGGTTGCCTCTTTTATCTCTAGAGGCTGTTTGTTGACCGTATTAAGAACATTGAGCTGCTGTACAATTAGTCATCTCCCCAGATACCTTCTGTATAGAAGCAGCACATGAAAGAAGTAGTTCTCTGATAAAGGCAAATTGGTCACATATGCTGTCTGTCTATTTAAATTGGTTGTTAATATTTTATCTTCAGAAGTTGAAATATCCATACACTTAGAAATTCAGATCGAAATGACACATTTATGCTTTCAATAACCTTTAAAGGTATCGAACTAAAGCAAAAGGTAGTTGAGCCATCTTTGCCCGAGAAGTTTTCCTTTCTGCATAATGAGCCACACAAGCAGTGTGTTTAGTCTGTTTTAGAGCTGAAGTGTAGCAGACCAGCTGAGGTCCTAGGTTGCTCTCTATCTAGAAGTGTGTGCCAGTGTGGGTTTACTGTGATTGTTCTTCTAACTTACATTTATACACCCCTCCATATGTGTTTCTGCTCTATGGGTTACTGCTTAATCAGCCAGACAGACCCTCAGGTGATGGGAATCAGCTGTTCTTAATTGTCTGTTCCTGGAAGCAATCATGTTTGTATGGCTTTGTTCAAGGTTGTGGTAATGAAAGGGAACCTTTCTCTAGAACTTACGGAAGAAATGTTTACGCTTTTCACAAAGCTTTTACCTCTACCATATTTGAAAAACTGTTTATTATTCATCATGTAGTTTATCCCACTGTTTTGCTGCTTGTACTTTTCTAGTGAAACTGTGGGAAAAGATGGAGTTAGATAATGCAAAAAGAATTTGAATAAGTGAAAAAACCTTCCTTTAAAAAAAAAAAAAAACTTTTCCAAAGAGAAGTACTTCCCATTTCTCTGACAACCTAAAGAAAAGTAAGCTGTACAGTAACTTGACGTCTATATACTGAAGAATATTTAAACGAGAAAAGCGTCCAGACCGACAGAAATCACACAGGGAGACTGAACCACAAAGGGAGTGCTTGGTTCTTACTGCATTCTATGTAAAATAGAGGCCTAAATATTGATGAGTAATTCTGAAGTCAAGAGGTTAGCAGAAAGATTGGAACTTGTTTCAATCCATGTGATTAATGATTTGTTTAAAGCTTTATTTTTTATAGTTGTACTGCACAAAATCAAAATACCATGTTGCATAAGTGGATTAACTCCTCTACTATTTAAAGATTAACTTATTTACAGAGTAATGTAGAGCAGTGCATAGAGAGAATTAATGTGTTTCATTGTAACGTTCTCACCTTTCATTTAAATAAAAGCATGTGCCACCAGGAGGTTAAAAGGTCATTCATTATTTCATTAAGAATAAGAAAATATTTTTGAAGTGATATATCTAGTGAAAACCCAACTGCTCATGCTATACAGACAAAATTTTAAGTAATTAAAATACAAAAAATTATTTACCATTTCAAAACGTTCACAGTGTAAAATGGGGAGGGAAGGAAAAAAAAATTGTGAAGACAAAGGCTGAAAGCTAGCTCTTGAAAGTATATGCATGTTGTGTCAGTTAACAGGAGGGTTAAAGCCAGAAGTTTATACATGCTTCATTGTCTGCCCTCTGGAAATTTTGGCAATCAATGAAACATTTTTAAAAAAAAAAGTCCAGATGGAAACATTTTGTTCAAATATTTGGTTTTAATTTAGGAAGATACAAATTGCAAAAGAAAACATAGGGAGATTTTTCTGAAATCTGCTGTATTTAGAAATATTCTCCTCCCACTTTCCTGTTGCTGTTGCCTTTGGATTATTTGTCCAGGAAAGCCTTCTGCAATTTCAAAGGCCCTAATCCTATAATCAGATCCAGATACAAATTGTTGACTTCAGTGAAATTCTATGCGGCTTTAGTGGATATAAATCAAATTGCAGGATTACAGATTTATTTTTCAATATTTAAATTTTAATACTTACTGCATTCAATCTGAAAAATGGAAATATGTGAGTCAGTTTTACCTTCTGGAATTATCTGGATTGTGAGCAACCGAAGAGAAAGTGCTAATCCAGATGTACGTTTTTAGATGCGACTAGCTTGTGGAAATTAAGTTGTCAGATAATACAGGTGAGTGGGGAAACTGAAGGAACACTCCTATTTGCCTATCAAGGTACATGTATTCTAACTCTCACTTTAAGCGAAAAAACAAAAACTTTCTGACAGATTTGATTTATGTATCTCTGATTCCATCAGGTGTTCAGAATAATCAAACCTGAAATTTATGAACAAACAAATCTTGAAACAGCTTTCGGTATTTGGAATTTTAGAATTTACTTAGTGTGTAAACTTGCTGCTTGAGTATTCTGACACCACTTGAGACTTGCCCTTGAGCAAGTTTGAGTCTACTTTAGTAAAGTCCTGTCAAATGTTTATAATATTTCTTACTGTTATATAATGCCTTAAATGGCAACTACTTCTAATCTCAAGGTGAGCTGCATTTTGATGAGTGATGAAGTAATCTTAATGACTGACTTTCACAATGTAAAGTAATTCGAAGAGCATCATCTCAGTAAATAGTTCTTACAAGTCTTGACTGAGGTAGGTATAAATTTTTCTGGCCCAACTTAAGCCAGAAAAGCCAATAAACCTGCGTATGTTTTTTTTTAAATGAGACTTGCCGAGCAACCAGTTGGCAGCTCTGAGTGGGAGTTTGCAAACATATGGTGTGTAGTGACAAATGAAATGTGATGCTAACAAAGTCATCTATATTAAAAGTAAACCTCAGATTACTCCTATACGTTAATGGGTATCTAGTCTAGGGTCTTGCAGAAGGCTTACATTCTGATGACAAACCTCTGTGGGGCTTTTCTGGGATAATAGCAATCCGTTTCTTTTTGGCTCCTGTGAAAATTCAGATTCATAGAAGCTACTTAAGGAAAAATGACATGATAGTAGGTCCTCAGTTAAACCCCACCTTATCCCCAGTGAAAGAAAGGGATAAAGGAAAGACATATAGTGACAAGAGTTTGCGCCTCAGTTTGAAATATTGCCATCAGTCCTGACTTGATGATCACAAAATAGAACAGAAGAAGCATGCCCAAACACCAGGTAACAGCATTATCTTTACATATGAAAAGAGATTCATTCACTTCACGAAGAAAAGGAGGAGAGGGATGTGATAGTGACAGTATAAAATGTATAGTCTAGAGAAAGTAAACTGGGATGTAGAATTGCTCCTTTGACCATCCAAGGACAAAGATATCCAATGAAGCTGAAAGGCAACAAATTGAAACCAAATAGACAGTACCTCTCTGTGACAGAAAATTTACCCACGGAGCTCTTTGCTGGATATTGTTTGAGATCATAAGATGATTGGGATTTAAAAAAAAAAAAAAAAAAAACAGATTTGATATTTCAAGGCAATGAAAACTATCCATATTACATTGAATAATGCACAGAATATACAGAAGTGCTTTATAAACTTGCTTTAGGGCATATTTGGCCTTCCTGCTGTGGTACTCAGACTATCGAATGGAGAGCAGTCTTGTAAGGTGCTAAGAGTTTTGACCAAAAATACACTGTGCTTTGATGCAGAATCAAACATTCAGGATGAAAACGTGGAGTATTGTAAATATCAGGTCACAGAAGAAGGGTTTAAGTAACATAATAAAAAGATATGATTGAAATGTATAAATAGGCTGAGTGGACATCTCTGTCTGCTATTAAATACATAAATGTTTATTGGGATTTAAGATAAGGAGCTCCAAAACAGTATTTTTCTTTAAAGGCTGCAAAATTCTTATCTTCTCTTGGCTTGTGTGTGAGTTAGCTCAAATACTTAATTGAACTTTGAAATGATCTCAAGCAGCGATAGCAAAATACAGCTGCTTGGAAGAAGAGGCTTGTGGAG